ATATATATATATATATATTCATGGATTTCACCAGTCCCATTTGGCAAACTTACGCACCATGAGCTAAAACAAATTTAAGTCTGGCAAAGACATTACAGGTGATGGCATAAATAAAATGCTGAACATGTAATAGTAAAGTGAAGTGCTTTGGAAGTAAGATATGTTCTGTGTTAAGGCTCTTACCTCCAAACAGGCCAAATGAATATCCTTTATAATGCATTGAGAGCCAGACAGTACAGATTGTTTCAGAAGCAGACAGCTTAACTCCAAGGTGGCAAGACGCATCTTTCCATCTGAAACACACAAACACGCTAGGTTGTGATGACGTAGATCAAACCCATTAGGTGCAACTGTTCTAATTTTAAAATTGAATCAAAGTGGTATTATGTAAAAGCAGACCAAACACGTGACAGTTTATATTATGCAATTCATTTCAGAGCATCTCAAGAAGAGAAAAATCAAGCAAACATGACTTAAAAAGGGAAGTGTGGGGCATTAAAATAGCTCAGATGTGCCATGTGTAATTACGGCAACAGCCAAACAACCACGTTAGCAGACAAAAATGCAGCAAATGAAAGAGAAAATCTGTGGATCTAAGGGAATGAAAAGTTTTGCTTCTTATAATGCTAGTATCATAATGGACACTGGCTAGAAATGTCAAAAGAGAATGAATCACACAACATGAGGATAACAGCTCATCGTGTATATTGTGTGGACTCAGTCAGTTCTACATTTTAATCCTAAGTATGGCGAGTATGTTAAGTAAGTCAACATTCAAATGTCACAACAATTACAGGAGCCCCAGAAGGAGAATTCAGCTCCAATTCCTCTTAACAAAGGTGAAAGAGATCAACGGTCAGAGGAAATTGGTTGCAACTTTTGTTACTCAAGGCTGTGGTAAAGGGTACAGAGCTAAAGAAACGTGCATCAAATAACAAGAGACACTTCACTAAGCTTTAGCCCACTTGGTTACGGTTGCTCACATTAACTGTTGCTTTTCAAAAAGTCCCATAGAAATAAACTGGAGATTTCTGTAAACAGCAAGATTTTTAGTAAAATGTGCTCAGAAAAGTGGTAAAAATTGAAGGGATGTTATTCTGACATGAGCTGGAAAAACTGTGATGTAGCAAAGCATTTTTATCTGCGTTTTTTTTTTTTTTCTTAAAAAAAAAAAAGGTTAGTTCTTCAACAGAAATTGCAAAAGCCAGAATTAAACAAGCTTGCACCTGTGTTATGCTTGACATCTCTAGACTCTGATGTACTACCACTTTCTGCCCTGCGGATGGAGTGTTTTTCACATAATGGAAGGGTAGTAAGAACTATCACATACTATAGTTATGAGAAGCGTGTGGTTGCCGAACTGTATTAAAGCTTTAATCAGAATAAAACCTTATATTAAAAGCTAACAGAAGGAAGCGTTGTTATTGTTAAAAAAGCAAACTAAAATTAAAATGAAAAGTCAAAACAAAAGCTAATTTAAAATATCGATAAATACTGTAATATTTAATAAATAATACTAAAATTGCACTGGTTCAGAGACGAAAAGAAACTGTCTAGAATAATTTGCACTGATGAATCACGTACATTGAAATCAGATATATTTATTAAGTACACAAGAAAAGAAAGTAGGTCCATTTTAAATTCCATAAAGTCGTTAACTACTTTTTTTTTTTGGATTGTTTTTTTATATTGCAGAACAGAACATACTGAACATACATGGAACATTAACTATATACAAAACCAGGGTTTGCTTTAGAAAGAGAAACCACTTTAGTTTTTGACAAGCAACAAGTTCGATGTATTGAAACCTCAACTGACATTCACCAAACAAAGACACACAGAAGAAGCTTTGTTTAAGCTGTGTGTGTACATCAAAATGTTGCACAATCACTGTGTTAAAATACGAGTAAAGGACTACTCTGAATAAACAATGAGTGCTTTGGTCTACACAGTCAAGTTCAGGCACACCAATGGAATTTGCAGCGTGTGATGTTTAATGAGCATGTCTAAGCAGGTGAGGGATTATATTTGGAATCAGTCTGTAAAGTACAGTAGAGTGAGAACGTGCAGGTGAGATGAGGAGGATGTGTGTTTGTGTGTGTACCTGGCTGAGCAGCCTGGCTCATGATTCGGATCGCTCTTTCCACCAACACCTGACTGTAAGAGCGCCTCTCTTGATTTGGCATGGGTAGCTGGATCCTCTCTAAGAGCTCCAGGTTTATACCTGCACATGCACATATAAACCAACAAGAGATAAAGAACAGAATGTTGGAGCATGACGTTGCCACTGTAAAGCTGTCAAAATTTTTTTAAATCATGTAACCATATAACCATTGTATTACAGTATTAAGTATTATATTACCTTACTAAGTAAGCAAACATGCTTATATGTAAGCATTTTGAAAGGTTGGACAATGTCTTTAAAATACAGTAAAAACAATTATATTGTGAAATATTATAAAAATGTAAAATTCCTGCTCTTGTTTTAAATAAATTTGAAAATGTAATTTATCTGTGTGATGGCAAAGCTGGATTTTCAGCTAAATTCAGTTAAATATTTGATACAAAAACCCTTTCATATCTATTACCATAATTATCCATTTATATTGAGTGTGTAGTTCGAGACTGTTATTCCTGAAGAAACAGATGAGATACCTTTACTGTGAGACATGGCATACAGGAGACAAAGCACAAACAGAGCCTGGTAATCCTCTGTGTCACAGTCCAGTGCATTATACAACATGTCCAGGAAGGGCCTAGAACAACAAACAAGAAGAAAACAGCTATTCTTTGATTCTTCGCTGGAAATCTAGCAAAAATATTAACAGAACAATGTGCACAACGTGCATTTGTGATGACATGCTGTATTCTTTGTGTTGCAAATGCGTAAGGCATTTAATAGGCAAGCTATTGTCTATAAATCATGCCAAACTGAGACTGGCTTTAACAAGTACTCATATCCAGACTAAACGCTAGTTATTTCCCTCCCTCCCTCCCTAACTAAAAATATTCTCCACAGGTGTAAACTCTTCTTCTTAAGTATCAAATCATGTCCATGCAAAGTATTCCTAAGATTCCTCACATGCATGCCATGTACTTGGGATAGAGAAAACACATTAATATTGCTTTTGAAAGGCTTGTGGAAGAGTCTGAACACATCCTTGGCCCTCTTTCTGTGGAGCACGCCAATCTAAAGAGGGGAGCTTTGCTGCACTTCAATGAACTAAGCATAAAAAACCAATTGCAGGTTCACTGGTTCAATGATAACACCCTTTAACAATGCTGACACTCATAAAGCACAATTTTGGACTACAATACAGTTTTAATGGATGTTGCTTCTCAAGTTTCTCTTCAACTAAAAGTTGGAGCAGCATAGATGCATCTGACCCTTAATGAAAATGTCACAGGAGGTTAGCTTAATCTGACAAAAATGATTTGTGGACATTCTTAAAAATGTAAAGTTGTTCATATATGCATTTTCCAAGGCTAAAAAGAGCTATGTTTTCTTCTAGGTCTGCGGTTAAGGTTGTGGTTGCTTGTGTACCTGCTCTTTTGTCCTTCAGATCGTGCCGCGCTCTTCTCCTCGTCTGTAATGTTCTGTTCAGTCAACGTGGACACTTCAGAGATCCTACATTTTTCCATCACCACCATCTCAATTTCTGCAAAACACAAACACAACACAGAGAGTATAACAGCAGAGCTGGATTTTGGCATTGTGTATATCAGATGTCAGCCATGGAAGATCCCCGCATAAAGCTGATCTAAGCTGTCAAAAGTTAGACTAATGGATTTCCCTTGAAATGATTATATACCTGCAGACATATCAAAAAGGGAAACCACTTGGTTGCATTTAATAACTTTCAAAACAATCTAACAGCCCAAACCACATGGGAATGTTTTCTAGAATTTTATTGTAGTGACCACCAGATTGAATTGTAATGTATTTTTTAAACATATTTGGCACTGATTGTAAGGGGGAAATCTGCAGAGTTCCACAGAACAGATTATAGATTATGTATTTAATATTTATGCGTGAATTTGTGGACGCGCATCGCGGAGCTAGTGCAAGACGTGCATTTGTGGTTAAAGTATATACATTTTAGGGGTTGAACGACTTCTGATTTTTTTAAAGTCGACTTTTATGTGATGAAAGTTGAGTCGAAGTCGACTAGTCGCTGATGACGTCATTAATGAACAAATAAGTCTGGAGCTGAGACTCGAACACCTTGTGACACATCGCTGCCCACATGACTATTGCTCCTATAACAGCTCATTTTTATCAGTTCTTTTGTCTTTAGGTCGTTATATTTCTCACAGATTTCTGCTCGTTCTAAATCAGATACAGATAAAGTAGCCAAGTAAAGATTACATTCATATGAATGCATTAGTGAGAGTGATTGCGTGTGTGAATTAATTCTACCTGGCAACGTCTCTCTACTAGAAGTGAAGCTGTGGGATTTGGTTATTAAGAAATATATGCTTGAACTTTTCAGTTTCTAAGCTATTTTATTGAGAAATCACAGAACAGTGTTGACAATGCATTTCTGCGCTTAATGATTCTGTGTGCTCGCAATCTGCACGAGATGAACTGTACGTGCTACTGTCTGAAGCCTATGTGTGTGCGTTACAGTGCAGCAGCGCATTAGATCAGAACGGCGATTAACTTACCTGTACAATAAGCCGTTTAAAACGTGCATTCTCCCATTCAATTTCGAGCATCCAGTAATATAATCACACGTCTTGTGGAGCGCTTTCAGAGTATGCATTTATTTGTCATTTTAACTGTTTGGAAACGGAGCGTAAATGTGGAAGTCCTTCAAAGATTTCTTATCCCATTGCGCCCTCTATAGGACCAGCGACTAGTCGACGTCAAGCTTAAAGTGTCATGGCAGAGCATTGAAGTCGACTAGTCGATTAGTCGGTGGAACCCCTAATACATTTGTATTTTTTTTAAGAAAATGACCGATCGTTTTGCTAGATAAGACCCTTATTCCTCGGCTGGGATTGTGTAGAGCACTTTGAAGCTGCACTGAAACTGCAATTTGGACCTTCAACTCGTTGGCCATCATTAAAGTCCATTATATGGAGAAAAATCCTAGAACGTTCTCCTCAAAAACCTTAATTTCTTTGCGACAGAAGAAAGAAAGATTTGAACATCTTAGATGACATGGGGGTGAGTAAATTATCAGAACATTTTTATTCTGGAATCCTTTAACTTAACTCCCAACAAGATTAAGGAGACACAATAATGTCTACCAAGGTAGAAGAGGGTGGGGGTGAGGTTTTGCCCAATCGGAGAGTTGGCGAGCACAGAATGAATGTGGAGCAAAGTGACTGTGTCCAAACACAGAAATGACGTGAGAAGGTGGAGTGCTCTCAGAACTGGCAAAACATAATTTAGCCAAGTAGGACATGCTGCTGGATCACCACTGCCATCATTGTTGGTCCTGGAACAACATTGCTAAGAAACAACCAAAGAACAAACCCTAACCTATCCATTAAATTATCGGGAAATAATTAGAACGTTGTTCAAATCAATAACCCCAAGGCATTAAGTCTAAAGGCCCTAGCACACTGAGTCCGAAATTTTACACACGTTAAAAAATAAATACGATCTCACATTGTGTCAATCCCGTTTACACACTGCCTCCGAAACATTCGTCTGTCATAAAAAAATTCAGATCGGGTTCGATTTTCTGCGTTTTTTTGCATCCGTAGCAAGCATTTTGAGAGGTGTTTTGACAATTCAGAGCCACCGTGCAAGCGAATGCCAAAATCCAGAATGGGGTCTGACAAGTTGATCCACATCTTCTCGCTGCACAAAGCACTGTATAGGTCCTTGCACACTGAGTTCACGGAAATTGGTGGTCTTCTTTTTAATACGTGGCCCTATCGCTAGCAAAGCATCAAACTGAGCCACTGACATCCTGAAGTAAACTTTGAATTGCATAGGATAATCCCGCAGCTCCTTGATAAGGAGGTGGAACTCTCCTTGGATTGGATGATGGATCCAACATTTCCTGTTTCTTTTTCTCTTTTTAAGAAGAGAGAGGACAACAAAATCATCCTCACTACTCGAAGACTCCATTTTGTATTGTTTTGCGATTTTTTTTGCAACGGATTAATTAATACGCATCGGACTCGGTGTGCAAGGTTTCTGTGCGTGACTAATTTTTAGGATGACGAATACGAAAAAAACACATACGAAAATTTCGGACTGTGCAAGGACCTTAAAACTAAAATCTGATTGGTTGATAGGATTATTGCTCCAATCTATATCCTACTTGGGTAAATCACCATAAAATGTATCCTTTTGTATTCCACGGAAGGAAGTCAGTCATATGGGTGAAATTTCCCTTTAAGCCTCACCATAGATTTGTGTAAAGTTCTACTGTGGGACATTTTATGAACTCAAATCGGCACAGCTGTTCGGTCAGTTTTGAGAGCAGAGCAACAGCCGAAGTGTGGTGTGGTGTGACCCAAAGAATGGAGGGTCAGTCAGTCATGCTGGGACATTCATCTAATGCTACTCACCTTCCTTGTCCCCACTTGTCCTGCTGGCCTTTGAACTAGCCTCTGTACCTTTAGCCTTTTCCTTCTCTTCTTCTGGCCCTTCCTCTGATCCCCGCTCTTCCTCCTCTTCCTCGCCCACATTCTTGTAGTTGGGCCTTTTCTGGGTCCTCTTCTTCCCACGGTGACGACTCATCTCTAGGGAACGCTCCAGACTTTCTGTGGGCTTGGTGAAGCGACGAACACCGGCATTGCTCTAAAATGAAATGACCAATGGATGAGGCTTATGACTAATATGTACACTGTTTGATGCTCATGAAAAGCTTTCTTCTTGGGCATAATAATAATAATTGTAATATTGTTATTATTATATTGATTCCTAATTTGATTTGATTTAATTCCTAATAACCTTATTTGTTATTTTATGATGTTATTTATTATATATATATATATATATAGAGAGAGAGAGAGAGAGAGAGAGAGAGAAAGAGAGAGAGAGCGAGAG